TACCACGCTGAAATCAAATGCTCCCTTGGGTTGTGGTGTTGTGCTGCTGCTCAGAAAGGGCTGATGGCTGGATGCTGCCTTCAGGGTGCCAGGCCAGAAGCAGCTGCATTTTGACACCAATGCCACTGGATAAAATGCAGGTGCTTCTGGCCTGGCACGGTGCCCTCCAGGACCAGGGCTCATGAATGGGAGTGAGGGGACACAGCTACCCGACATCCTCTTCGGGTGGCATGGGGCTTCCTGGCTTGTGCCAACAGTTTAATAGTCTCAGTGTTTATATGCACAGCAGAGACAGATCTTGGGATGGGGATTGGGGGAGTTTTTTTCCCCTCCTTTTGGTACAGAGAGCATCTAGTACAGTGGGGCCCTGAACTAGGGGTCAGGCAAGGGTCCTTAGGGGATCTCTGCACTTCCAGGGGGCATTACTCTCCAGAGTTTCGTACTGGAGAAGCTCTTAAACCCCTGGGTAGATCAGTGCTCAGCCAGACACTGCCTTGCATTCTGGTTATGGCTGCAGTCACCTGCCTGGTCAACATGGGCACAGGCTGGGGGTGCTTTCTTGTAGGGCACATGCAGCACATTTCTCCCCTCTCCAATAAAGATCCCATTGCCTTGCGGAGTAGGGCCATGCCTCCACAGAGGAAACATGGTTATAGTGCGACTCTGACCATGCACACGCACGGGAGGTCGTGGCACTGCTGCAGATGGCTGTGTTCTCCTTATTGCATACAGGGCCCTGGGCAGAAACCTAGGACGTCGTCAACCTGGTCTCGAAAGCTCAACAGCAAAATAGGCTCTAGGATAGTTGTACACGATACATCATCATCATCATCATCAGGACTTGGAAGGAAGATGTTTGCCCCCGCTAAGTAGTGATGTGCTCGGCAGGTGATGTGCTCGCCAGGTGTGGGTACTGGCAGGGGTGGGTTCTAGATGCAGCTTGCACATATTTGTACAAGTAGCCGGTTCCAGCTATGTCCAGGGGTACAATGGTACAGGCACCCCCCCCTTTGGTTTCTGCTCCACCCAAACTTTAAAAACAACTGTCTGGCACCGGCAGCAGCATTTCTATTCAGGCACCAGTGACAGAGTCAATTAACTAATTAAAGTCTGTGGCTACTGCGTATTTACACTACTGATTTCCAGCAACAAGAGAATCACCTGGGAAGTTGTTATCTTCTCTCCCTGTTAAGAACATATGCCTTATCCTAAAGTGAATTAATCTGGCTTCAGCTTCCAGACATTTGGGTCTTGTCATCCCTTTGTCTGCCAGAGGCTCTAGGATCAAATCTCTGTTCTCCAAGTAGGCATGTAAAGATACTCTAGGCTTCCCACAACCCTTTCTTTCAGCAACTAATAAAATTGAGTCTTTTGCAACCAGGAACTTTAACCAATCCTGTAATCTTTTTTGCAGCTCTTATCTGAACCCTTTCCAATTTATGAACATGCCTTTTTTGGGATTGTGGCCACCGGAAAGGCACACAGGGCTCCAGTAGCAATCACACCTGTGTCAAATACAGGACGTCACCTCCTCCACCTCCATAAACCTGAACCGATGCACCCAAGGCATCAGGCTTTTGGCTGCAATGTTAGACTGCTAGCTCATATTCAGCTGATTATCCACTATAACACAAAGCCCTTCTCAGGGTCACTGCTCTCTAGGAGTATTTACCTTCTTTCTTTGTTCCTGGTGCATGACTTTATATTGGGCCAGACTGAGGGAAACACATATGGTTTGCTTGTGCCCAGCTGACCAAATCACCCGACTCGCTCACTATCAGTGACCTGTCCTTTTATTTGTTAGCAGCCTGCAAGCTTACATCTCCAAACTTTACTGGTAATGATTTGATGTCTGCTTCCAGGTCATGGATAAATATGTTAACTAAGCCTAAAGACAAGAACTGTCATATGGGCATCCAGACACTTTCATTCAATGATCATTCTCATTTTTCTATTATATTTCAAGACTATTTTCAATGCGTTTAATATGTACCACATTGACTTTGAATCTTCCTAGGTTCCGAGGCCAAGGGACGTGCTGTATCGATGCTGACAGAAGCCTGCACATCAGATCTGTATCAGCCAAACTTGTAATCGCACCGATAAAGACATCCAGTTTGTCTGACATCCATTTTCAACAACCCGATGTTGACTGGTGTTAAGTGTATTACTTTACTTGAGCAATCAGGACTTGTGGCAGAGGTGATATCTTTTATTAGACCAACAAAATTTTTGCAAAAGTTCTTTAATTGCAAGCTTTGGGGTGCAAACACCCTTCATCAGGCATTGGAGAAAAGATTGTAAAAGTTCTCCTAAATAGAAATGGAAGTTCATAGGAGAGTTGAAGGTGGTAAAATCTCCTGTTTGGAAAAGTGCATTTTATATGCAGATTAGGCTAAAAAAAAAGTTGGAGTAATCCTAGATGTTATTCCTTACTTTACTTGAATTCCTTATTAATTTAGTCCTGTATTAGCTATTCTGTAATTTAGCCTGGATCAGTAGAAGGCTGTCAGTTTTATAATTAGTTAAGGTGTCCTGTTTAGCCTTTTTAAACACTAGCAGAAACCCAGCCTTGTTCCAGACCTCTGAAATATCCCAATCTTCCAAAGTGTGTTGAAAATGAATATCAAGGATCCAGAAAGCTCACTGCCCAGCTCTTCTCAAACTGCTAGTTGTATATTATCTGAGCTTGGTTATTGAAGAATGCTTATCTTTAGTAGCTGGTATTTAACATTTTCTTGAATTACTGTTGAAATGTAAGGCATTTTAGACTCATCCTGTGACTCAACTACATCAGCCTTTTCCCAAATACATAAAAGAAATATTTACTGAATATTTTTGCTGCTTCCGCAGTGTTACGGATGATTCCAGGATTTCCATCTGGTGATGGACTATGTCAGTGCGGGTCCCATTCTCCAGTTCCTCCCTCCCCTCCGTCTTTGTCTGTGCAGGAAGAATAGTGCTCCTTATTTTCCTCCCCTTTGATTCTTTTCCTTTCTATTTCTCGCTGACCCCAGTGTGTTGTGAATCCAATTAGACCCACAGTAGGGATCACAGTTGCATGGCATTCGGCCATTATCCAGACCGAGCATGCTCAATGCTTCTCCGAGCCATGGGAGATGTCAAGCCTCTTCTATACGTAATTCTGGACTGCACCGGAGCTAGTGGAGATGGGAAGGGGGCAGGGGAGGCTGGAGTGCCAGACAGATGGGGTTTGGGACACATTTTCCCTATGAGTTCAGTAATCTGAAAAGCCCCCCAAAGTGCTGATCTGCAATGGAGACTGCCAGGAAAGGCAAGGGTGCTCTCCAGGCACTCGGGACTAGCAGGTGTTGGATGGAAGATATCCCTCCTGTGTTTTAGCCCCTATAGATGAGTGGCCAGAGCCCCTTCACCAAGAGATGTTAACCCCCACACCACAACACAGGCATCCTCCCTACCCCTTGACCACACTCCTCACTGCTCCTCCTATTTAACAGTCATGGGAAGAAGTGGAAATGCAGAAGTATCTGCCTCATTGAGAACACAAACCCAGGGCCATCCACTGAGCTTCGCACACTCTGGCTTGACCTCCTGGTCCCACATCCTTCCCTCTCAGGGCTGCCCAGGAGGTCATCTCCAAAAGGAAACATTGGAGGAAGCACTGGGTAGTGCCTGGCTTGTGGGCTGGCAGTTAAGAGACTATCCAGGGAAGTCAGAGACATGGAAGCTCAAACTCTCTTGGGGGTCTTTGGCTCCGGAGGCAAGTGGCTTAACCACTCAGTCTTCGGAGCTAAAACATGGGAGCCATCTCCTTCTCCATTTTTATCCAAAACCTGAATAAAGGTAGACATATACGCGAGCTATGTGTATACATATATAGCCATGTATGCATATAGTCTACCAGCACAGTGGTACATCTCCAGAGCATGAAGTAGAGGCAAAAAATATCCAGGTAGGTGGCTAGAAAACTCCCCTTTAGATGCTCAGAGGGAAATGGGATTCCACTCTTTGTTCAAAGTTAGTGTGGGACTCCTGGGATCACTAACTCCATGGTGGGAGTGAAGAAGACAGGGCTCGCGATGGCCTGGTAGGAAACGCAGCTCTGCATGGATCCCACAGGTTACCGAAGCGCTTAGCTGTAGTGCGGCACAGTACAACTGCCTTCTGTGGGCTGCCCTACACCAGTGGTCCATCCATGGACTGCTGGGGGTCCGCAGCCTATGTTTAAGGGGTCTGTGAAAAGTGATTAGGATCAAACATATGTGAATCTCCACACTTACAATTCAAAGGGTCTGGACCCCCAGTTGAAACTTCCAAGGGGGTTCGCAAATAAAAAAAAAGGTTGACAGCCACTGCCCTAGACACCTGCTCCTCTGCCAGGGGTGCACTGGACAGAAGATAAATAGCTGGCTCCCGTGCTGCCCAGCCCTGATGCTCCATGACCCAGGTTCCTTTAAAGGCTTGCTTTTTATCAAGATGAGGCAAATTCCTGTACCATTGACTAAGGCTAAGATTGGCCACTGAGCCCATTTCCAAGAACTTTCCTGCTGCACCCTCGGACAATGGAGAAGGGCTGCTCCAGCCCGACCCCCGGCAAACCCAAGGGAAGGCCTGTGGATGCAGCCAGTATTTCAGCTACGGTAGTGCATAACAGCCATCCTCAATCTTGTGTGCGAGTCTAAGTGCACGTGGAGCTCAGGCTGGATCAGGCTCCTTGCGCTCTGTCCAGCTGTGGACAAGCAGCCCCAAGAAGATTCCCACTATAAATACAGGAACCAGGGTGCTGGGAAATCAGAAGCAACAAAGAAATGCAGAGGCACATTCACAGACAGACACAGCAAAGCCAACGGGTGCCCCGGAGTCACTAATACCACATGGCAGGGAGCCGTGCTAGATCAACACTTTCTTCCCATGAGCAGCACCATGCAGAGGCACTGTCAAATGCCGGGGCCCACCACAACGCAAGCACAGCTTGCCATGCGGAGAACAAAGAACAAGAGACAATAAGAAATGGTTACCTCTGCAGACGGTCCCGTTCTCCACCGACTCGTAGCCAGCCTTGCACATGCATCGCCCAATGGGCACCAGCCACTCCCCGTCCCCGTTACAGTACAGCTTAATGGGGACGTCCACCTCCTCCGCGTTGTTGATGCACGTCCCCCTGGCTGCCACCAGCGAAGTACTCTCTGCTCCCGAGAGCGTCTCCTGAAACACCGCCCCGTTCTGCACCACGCGGGGACACTTGCGGTAGAAGACCCTGACGGCAATCAGAGACATGCAGCCCCCGTAGTCCTGGAAGGCGAGATAGAATCCGTTCTTGGAGACGGGCCCAAAGCTCCGCACCTCCGTGTTGATCTTCATCACCCGGCCACCTAGGTCCACCTGGGAGAAGCTCTCGTCGGCTGCAATGGTGTCCACCTTCATCCAGGGATTCTCCATCCACTTGGGAAAAGTCTTGGTGGCCGAGTCAAAGTCTGACTCATAGTAGTAGAGATTAAAGGTCTCCTTGCAAGATCCGGGAACGTTGGGAATACTGCTACAGTCCCGGACAGAAAACTTCATTTCCACATGGATGCGATGCCCCCCTCTCCTCCGGATATACTTGGTCCGGAGCCAGTTATTCTGACTGGACTCAAAGACATTGCACACCTGGTACGTACGGATCGTGTTCATGTTCTCGTCGTATCCGCTCACCTCTTCCCACTGCAGATGGGATACAAAGAGTCACTGGGACACAAAGAGGCATTGTATTTACAGTTATTGAGAGGCAGGGTGAGACCAGACCGATGTCCCTGCCCGGGGGCACTGCCCTGCCTCCCCCCATCCTCTCCCGGGCCGAAGCTCCACCCTGCAGCAATGGCCAAAATGCTTCCTACACTGCTGCAGTCCACTCCGGACTTGTCTCCTGAACCAGTGCCCTCCCCTCCACATGTGCCCCCACCCCTCTCCACCTCTCGCACTACAGGGATCTATTTTTCTAGGGCACGCTTCTAGACCTCACCGGCTCTTGCCTGCCATGGAAATGCTGTCTGGTCCTTCTGTTTGTTGTGCCAACCCACAAGAATTAATAAGAAACACACGCCCTGATTGCCAGAGAAGACCCGTTCATGGTCATCAGGGGCCTGTCTGCCCAGCAGCGCGCGTCTCATCTTCGAAGGGTTGAATAGGTCCCTCTGTGCTGCCCCTGGGAGCTGCCACTGAAGTGGTTCCAGGCTCATCCGGTCTTTGCATGCAACTCATCATGTACTGTCCTGATCTTCCAAGAGCCATATTGCTGGGCCCGCTCTCGGTGCCAGCCATGTGCAGAGGGCACGCGGTAGACCTGCTTTCCAAATGCTTGCTGGTCCCGACTAGCACAGCCCCGAGGGACAGGGAGAAGGGAACGGAGCTGGAGACTATGTTTTATGGATGGTCCTGGTTTGTGTAAGGAGGGATGTGGCAACGGCATCTTACTATTTCAAACTGTGTATTGAATTCAATATTTACAAGCGTGGCATAGGTTCGAGCCAGGCGGACAAGTGCTGGCAGCTGAGCAAGGGAGCTGGCTGGAAAGCAACAGCCCATTGCACGCAGCCTCCGAGATGTCAGCACTTGGGACCAAACCCCAAACTTTTCAAACACCTTCGCCACCTGCCCTAGGTCCTTCCAGCAAGCCATGCACAAGTTTCTGGGAAAGGCAGCGGGAGTCCCCCGGAGACCTTCCCTCGCCCTGCACCCGAGCTCCGGGAGCCTGGACACCCACCCACTCAGTGGCCGGCTCCTGGGCCGGACTGGGGGGCGGCAGGGGTGGGGCAAGAGGGGCTTGTTTGGAGTTGCTGACACCACAGGACGGACTAATCCCTTCAGTGCCCCACTCCAAAGCTCCCTTTTCTCAGCTGCGAGAGAGTCACCCCTCGTCTCAGCCCCGGCGCTTCCTCAGAGCTTAATTAGAATCCTCTCCCTTTCTCCTCACTCTCTAATTAACATGCTGGGGACTCAAAAGAATAAGGCAGCACAATAATACACGGAGACGGCCTCCAACAGGCCTGGGCCTCATTACTGAGTGGGCCGGGAGAGCAGGGAGCAGGGTTCGCTTTAGATATGGAAAACTGCAAACAAGGAAGGCTGGGCAAGGAGAGAAAAAGACTTGACCTCTGCCCCCCGCCTATTGAGAGCCCATCATTTCCCTTTGGCAGGCAATGGGGCAGGCTGGGCCCAGGCCTAGTGGAGTGGGTGAAGCCTTTGCAAGCCTCCCCGGCTAATAGCCATTATTATGATGATTTCGACAGCGCTGCGTGCCGTAGCGGGCCTCGGCACAACCTGGCCCCGCTCCGGGCTCGCCAGGGGGAGGGGGAGCTGGTCTAACGCAGTTTAATCTTCGCCGTGGCGGGAGGCTTTTCTTGATGCAGTCTATTCTTGGAGGCTCGGTCTCAGGCTTCCCGTCCAGGGCTCCCTGGCGGAGGGCCAGGCACACCCGGAGCGGGGTAGCAGGGAAGGGCCTGCGCCTGTCAGCCAGGGAGTGTGAAATCCAAAGAAACGTCTTCATTTTGCTCTTTCCAGACTCCATTCAGGGTCGGGAGTGGGTGGAAGGGGGGTGCGGGGGGAGTGCATGTGCCCATTATTCCTTTCCCTGCAAAACAAAACTAGCTCAATGAAAACCGGGAGGTCAGGGCTGCATGGTGAACCCAGCTCGAGGCTGCCGGGCCAGGAGGCGCCTGCAGCTGCTGTGTGCTCTGGCTCTTTTGCCAAGCCCACTCCTTTGACCCCTGTCTCTCCATCTTTCCCTCACTATCCCCCTCTCTTAACCCTGCAAGC